CTGAATTGCATTGGGCTCATCCCAAACACTGGTAACAAAGTGCTTTAAGAAATGTCCACAGCTGACCTAGGCCAGAGAAAAGAGAAAAGAAAATTGTCTGTCATATGGGCTGTTTGTGCTATAGGAGCTCAAAGCATGGTGCTGGTATATACTGGCAGTGAAATGAAAGGTAGTAAGCAGTACCAAGTAGTATTTGCCTCCTAGATTATGTTGAAATAGTCATATGTAACAGCTATCAGAAAATAATTATGTTCCCAGTTGGTGCACACTGCAGTTTATCACTATGTCACACTGCAATATACAGCATGATCATAAATCTACTACCCAGAGCACACTGGTCAGACCTTCTCAGCTGTCTGCCCCTATGCAAGCTCAACTGCTCACAATAATAAATGCAAATCCTTAACTCCCCCACTACACATTTCATCCAAGCATGTAGACCTCAAAGCACTTTACAAATGGTGGTCAGTATTATTATCTGTTTTACAGATGCAGCAATTGACACAGAGGTGAAGCGAGTTGCCTAAAGTTTTCAGGATTACTTTAGTGTAAGAGTAGCAGACAGATGAAACTACCCATTAAACCAAAATTACTGCCCAATCTGGTGGAAAGTTAGCCCTAAAAAAGGGATAAAACTTTACCAGTGTAAATCACCCTAGTTTAGACTTCCTTTGACTGCATCGCCCTGGGAGTAGCCCCCACCCCCTTTTTTTTCCCCAGAGCAAACAGGTTATTGACTCTTCCCATTGCAAGATGAGGGTAGATAGAGAGCTAAACATCCCTTCATGTAATATTCCTATTACATGAGCTACTTTAGGAAAATTGCACATCTGTCCATTTCTGATCCTGGGGTATACATACATCTGTCCATATGTCAGAATGCTGCATCCCAGTCCACTGCTTTGTCCTCCAACGGCCACACTACCTCCATCATGCAGAGGCTATGTATTAATAGCAATGATGTGCCCAGTCAGTACATGCTCCTGGGCTTATCACCTGTGTACTTCCTTTCTCGACAGAAATCTCTTATATGCTCAAGCAAGGAGAAGAGGATGATTCCTTGCTCCTGGCATTCTATGGTTTAGCACTCCCTTTCTCTGGTTTATAGCTCTCTACCTTTCCTCATCTCAACTAATATTGTGGATAGAGGTTTATGGTAGCCTTCGATGCAAACTGGATATTTCCTCATGGTCACATTTGGGTGCATGACAGAGTTTGTAATTTCAAACTAAGATAACCTTACACAAGGAGGTTCTCACTTGGAGTCCCCAACTGAGTTCAAGGGTCCCAACTGCCCTGGAGTTCTTGTGTTGTTAAACAGGAAGTTTGCCCGGGATTGATCCCAGCTAGATGCGAGAGGAATCCTGGGGCAGTCCAAATATGGATCAGTGATTTAAGGAATGGGAAAGGCTTGAGCACCCCCACACCACATTGTTTTGAATTAATCTTGTTACTGGAGCAGAGGGGAAAGGAGACATTCAGTGCTAAGTTCTCATAGGCAGGCATTTTTCAGTGACATAAGCCCCTGATGCACGTGAGCTGTGTTCACGCCCTACACTGTTTTGCTTGCCCACCCTGTTTCAGATGGTCTACATTACCTTGCTCTGGCAAAGCTCTTTCTTTCTTCCTTCATTTCTGTATATTTGGCATTTTTTTAAGCCAGATGCAACTTGCCCTTTTCAATGTGTGGACTAACCATGCATCTGAGAAGATGATTGGTCCCTGAAGGTTTACTTACAGGGAGGGGAAAACAGTTCCATTACAGAAGGGGTGTTCAACTCTCAGTATAATTATGCAACAATGCCTTAGCAGATGCTCTCATCTTCATTTCTCTGCTGAACTAATTACACTTTTAGAACCCTGTAACTACTGTTGTTCTCATGAAAACCATGGAATAAGCCAGATAATTGAAGCCATATAAGTGTCAAAAGTCCTGTGTCCTATTCACCTGCTCTTCCTGCCCTAGGAAGGATGTGGGTTGATCTTGAGAGGAAAGACATCAGATCAGTTTTGTTTCTTTCTTCTTCCAAAATCAGCTGCTAAGTGAAATAACAAAGTGTGCACAGGAATACTAACAGAGCTTTGTTTTTCCTCCATGTTAAAAGCCAGCAGCTGCTTAGTGTTTCATAGAGCAAGATAAGCAATGTGACATTTGTGGCCATTCACATGCATTGATTTGTTTTAGTTTATTGTGTTCTCAACTGAATTTCTTAGTGCTTCAGGACTGGAAAAAAGCCCAAGGAATATCAGAATGATGAAACTGCTAGGAAGAAAAAGAAAATCAAGTAAACAAAGCGTGAGTTAATAGTTCTTCTATAGACTGGCTTTGCTGACAAGAGAATTAGAGCAAGATAATCTTGGCAAGCTTTATGTTGTGTTAGCTGCGCAAACTTTTTTCTTTCCTCATATACAGTCTCTTAATAGTTTGGGTGGGATCTTCTTTCTACATTTCATGGAGAGATTGATTCATCTCTTCATTAGCAGATTTTTTTTATTTAAAGCACAGAGCATTTTTTTAAAGAACTCATCGACATGTTCATGATGATTTTATTTAAGTTTATTTAGAGGCCAAACTCAGCTTTTTTCCTGATGATCTATTTTTGTCAGGTTCTCATGATTATTTGTTTTATCAGAGCAAATCTCCTTTCTCCTTTGGTTCTTTTCTCTTTTTTATTTGGAAGAATTATTTTTTTTCCTAGTGACCTTGATTTGCTGCTAATGTCACGTCTTCCATCTTGGGTCACTATTTTAGTCTCTCATTTTTTTTCCTGACCCATGTACTCAAATTAGCATCCTTCACAAAGTCCGTCTGCACTCATATGTAACCTCT